GCGGCTGGGACCATGGCGAGCAGAATCCGAGAGCACTGGCATCATCAACACCGTGTTCTGTGTCACGCAGAGCAGCCCCCTTGCCGCAGCTTGCCCGAGGCGCTGTTCCCACTGACACGCTGCTGCGACTTGCAGATATGCGTGTGTGAGAAAGGGCTGGCTTCCAACCGGCAGCTTCCGCTCTTCAAACAGCGCTTTCAGACCGCAATGGCCGGCATCTTCAGTGGGACCAAGAAGGATCCGTCCCCTGCTCTAGCTTTGTTGCGGGAGGGGCGAGCAGTCCTGAAGTTGGAAACGCAAGCAGCAGGGGCTTGGGCGGATGACGCATTGTCTGCTCTCCTGGAGGCTGGCCCGCCGCCACAAGAGGCGGTACCGACACAGCTGTTCTTCCACGTGGGCCGCTGCAACTTCAGCACCTTCTTCTGCAGCGTGCTGCCTTTGACTCTTGTGCAGAACCCGAACGAGGACGGTTTCCTGGAGCTGGAAGCAGATGCTGGCGGAGCAGCGACCCTCGCTGCCCAGACAATCCCGGAGCTGGCTGCCCGTTGCATGAACTTTTCTAACGTTTACGCGCTCGCTGTCTACGAGGTGGTTGCCGACTCGGACACAGTGCTCAGCGAAGAGCGCATGCGAGGCTCCATCGTGGAGGTGAAGGCCTCGGCTTTCGTGGACAAGCATATTTTCTGGAAGGGTGCTGCGGAGGAGACTCGTCCAGATGCACCCAGACGTACTGCGTCGAAGCGGCCGGCTGTTCCTGCTGCCAGGCGACGAAAACCTGTCAGGCAGGCATCCAGAGCTGCCCCGCCAGGAGGAAACGAGGAGTATGAGGGTGACAATGAAGGAGCTTCCCAAGCTGGAGATGACGTAGACGACGTGCTTCTGGAGCTGGATTCCCAGGTCCAGTCTGGAGAATTCCAGGAGCAGGCTGGCGAGAGTCATGACCACGACCCGTACATGGATGACATGGATGCTGCAGACTTTGCAGGCGGGATAGGCTCTCTCAGCTCAGACGGCAGGTGCAGTGACCTCTGTGCTTCTTTGCACTCCAGCAGTGACGGCAATGGGAAGCACGCGGCTGGCACTTGCACCGCAAATCATCGGGCGGCCGTCGGAGGTCGTCCAGTGGCTCCACTAGTTCAAGCTCCATGTCGTCGTCTTCCAGTTCGACTTCTGCCAGCAGTCTTGCCGATCTCACCGTGGAGGGGGGGGAAGAGGAAGACTCGGACGCAGATGACCCAGTTCTTGATGATGCGTTGCCAAACCCTGGCGAGGTGGCTGCTGCAGCCCCCCGTGCCCCAGTCCTTGCTCGGAGAATGCCAACCGTGCAGCAGCACTTCACTGTGCCTGAACTAGGACAGATTCGGTACAGCCCCGTGGATGGCTACCTGCGTGCTTTCTGCGGGAAACACCCCGAGTGCCAGCGTCAGAGAACTTGTAAGCCCTCTGACCGAAAATCTCAGCAAGGGCGTCCGTTGGGCGCTCTGATCGCGTGGATGGCCTGCGGCAGAGAATGTGCCACCAAGGAGGAGCATCAGAAGGCTTATCCGTCGCACGAGGAAAGGTGTTCTGCCAGGGAACTGTTCAAGACATTGCCTGACTGGAGCACTTGGGCGAGTTTCGAGCGCCCAAGGCGAGAAGGAGAGCCCGAAGAGCCGTTGAGGGCACCCTAGGCTTAAGGCCTTTGTGCTTCGCAGACGGCAGAGTTGAGTGCTGACCCGAAGACCGAAAACAGGTGTTGGTCGTTTCCTTTTGTTTGCCTGTCCCAGCAGCAGCCAAGACACAGCTTATAGTTGCATGATAAGTTGATTTCTTGTGGTGTCATGCAAGCCAACAACCGAGCAGGTGCAGCAGGTCAGCGCATATGTTTGCAAGTGCCTCCGAAGAACAACCCTGAGCCGTTTGCTGTTTTTGCAGATGCACAGTACTGCCTTCTTCCGGTCGCAGGCTCTACCTCGTGTTCCTTCGCAAGGACATCTTCCGTCGAGAAGATGCGAAGCGTGTGAAGGATCTTGTGCAGGACTGCAGGTACGGTTTGCCCCACACCCTTGCATGACTTCTCCGCTAGGTTCTCGGTTTTTTTTTTAGGGAAGCTAAACTGCTGTGAACCTGGGCTGGATGCTCGTTGTTTTTTTTTGGGGGGGTTTATATAAGTTTAAATCAAGGGGGTTCAATCTTGCGACGCAACTTTCCAATCAGGAGATACTGCAGAAGCAAGCTGAGCTGGCTCCACGAGACCTACATCAGCTGCTTTTGCCAGAGGGCTGCAGCGACTTCCAGAAGCACGCCAGGGCGCAGACCAGGGTCTGGTCCGGCACGGGTTCGCACGAGGAGAGGTGTTGGGAAAGGTGTTCGCACTTGGGGCCTCGCGGTCGGGAAGTCAGGAAATTGGAGTACCTTTTGGAACACCTTTTGGAACACCTTTTGGGACACCTTTTTGGGACCTGCTGGGGGAGGTTGGGCAACCCGGGCTGGGATCAGGATTTCCAGGATTCGCTTGTAAAACCCAAGGACAAGGTGTTCCAAAAGGTGTTCCAAAAGGTGTTCCAAAAGGTGTTCCAAAAGGTGTTCCGGAAGGTGTTCTGCACCGGCCCCCCAGCGGAAAAGGTGTTGGGGAAAGTGTTCTGAAACCGAGCTCCCGGTGCCCAGGACGGCAGTTTTGCGCCGCAGACGGCCTGGCAGCGGCAGATGCTGGAGTGGCGAGGTGACCTTCTCGTCAGGAAAGGCATTCGCCCAGACGTGCGGCCGTGGACGTCGCTTACAGGACTGGGGTGGCATGGTCTCAACCCGACCGCGAGGGTGAAGGCCATTCTGGACGCAGTGGTCTGCGAAAAGCTCTCCTGCGAAGATATCTCGGCTTCTCTGGCTGAAAAGAAGGAGTTGCTGAAGCACGACTACGTGGACGTGTCCCAGAACCCCGCCCGCAGAAGCTTCACAAATGTCCAGGGATTGTCGCCATGCCTGACTACGGGAACGAAGCTCTACTCCTTCCATCGACAAGGCGTGCTCCTCCCGATCGAGTTACTGATGCTGCAAGGCTTTCGCCGTGGACTCCGCATCCCAAAGGATGTGCCTCAAGGCTCTCTGAGGCAGCTGGCAGGTGAAGGATGTTTCCTGCCCTGCGCGGCCACGGTCCTTTGGTCCCTGCACGTTGCCGGTTGCTTGGGGTCTGAGGGTAATGGCCTCGAAGGCGCTCAGAATCGTGAGTGAATCGTGCGTTCAGTGTCGATATGTCATCTTCGTGCCTAGCGCCCAGCCCTGTCGTGTTTTTTTTGCTTTCGGCTGTGGGGGAACCGTGCGCCAGCAGCTGTGCGGTGTGCCCACAAGCCAGGCGCTGTGTCACCTTGGCCACATGTACAGGCAGGTCCTCCGTAGTTTTGCCACGACCGCAAGAAGTGTGAAGAAGGTAACATTAAATTAGTTTGAAGATGCATCTTGCTGCTTCTTGATCTTCCTTGACGTGCTGTTTTTTTCTTGAGGAGTCTAGTGTGGTCTTATAGCTCTGTGTGGCACTGTTGCATGCAGCATCAGCAAGGGTGTAGCAAGAAACGTGTTCGCGGTGGCATAGGGCATAGGACAGTGGCATGCGAATCATCCCGGGGCGGGGCGTCCTGTGAGTCCAGACTGAAAGACGGTATGTGTTTTTAGCATTATGGAGCATGTAGTGCATCGAATCATATCTAAACTCGAAACGCAGCAGTCTATGCTTCCGTGTGAACTATATACTGCTGTATAGTCCGTCGATGCTACCGTAGACTCAACAAGCGGCTGCAGGCCCTGCTCCAGAATGGTTCACCGTGCCAGGCTGTAGGGAGGACCTCTGATTCCTAGTCCTAGCGTCCAGTCCAGGAAGCAGGATGCGCCGCTCTGCGAGAAATGGCTCTAATATAACCTTTTTTTGCCATTACGAGGAAGGGGGGCTTGGTGACTTGGTGCAGAGATCAGGCATTGTGGCAAGAGCAGCATGAGTGTCCGCTATCACAACCTCGCAACAGGACATGCATTCCTTTGTTCCCTGGGCATGTTGATGCAGGGCCTGCCCGCCCGGTAGCGTGCAGCAAGGCTTGAGGTTGCTTCCTCCCATGTCAACTGTGTTGTGTAGCAATCTAGTCCAGCTGTTGCAAAATGAACTTCCCGGCATTATTCTGTCTTGTGGGCGCAAGCAGACTCCAGAGCTTACAGCCGCCGATCCGAGTAGTGACTAGAGCTTGGACGGCCTGTCCAAGATGAAGCGCAAGGCCCGTCACATGTGCACTGTAGGGTGGGATGCTGTTTTCAGAAGAGCACGAAGCTGTTCAGCCTTTGCCTTTGCTTGTGGGTGTGCCACTTGCGGAGTTGTTTCAGGAGCGGTACGCATGCCTCCTGGTACTGTTAGAATATCCATAGTCGTAAAGTCGTAAAGTATTCGTAGTGCATCTAGATTCTGGTAGCCAATGCTGCGTACAATCTAGGTCTTGTTCTGCATGGATCTGTGCCAGAGGACAGTGTGGAGAAGGCTCTGGCCGTTGTCGCCGCAGACAGTCACCCCGAGTTGTCCGTGAGCAGCAAGCGCCACAAGAAGGAGAAGAAGGAGAAGGACAAGGTGGTGCTGATCTGCCTCCTCTGTGGCGGGTCTTCCAAGGACAGTGTGGTCTAGGGCAGTAGATTCTTAGAGGCATGTCCACCCAGTAGACGCTGCTTGCAACTTGAGATATCGTCAGTCTGACATAGACGAAGGTTGCATTTTTTGTCTTCTTGTCGTTGTCGTTGTCGGTTTTCGTTGCTCTGGTCGTCGTCCGTGTTGCTGTTGTTGTTTTTTTTGTCGTTGTTTTCGTTGTTCTTGTCTGTGTTGCTACTGTTGTTGTTGTTGTTGTTGTTGTTGTTGTCGTTGCTTTTGTTTTTGTTGTTGTCGTTGCTGTTGTTGTTGTTGTTGTTGTTGTTGTTGTTGTCGCTGTTGCTGTTGCTGCTGTTGTTGTCGTTGTTTTTGTTCTTGTTCTTCTTTGTCATTGGTGCACAGCCCAAGCATGCAGGACCTGCGCTGGGGCGCGCAGAATAAGCAAGGCCAGCCTCTGGGACCAGGGTGCGACATCTGCATGAAGGTTGTGGTGGCCCTGCTCCCCGACCGCCCGTTTCCGGACGTTGCAGAGGCCGTGAAGAAGGGCGAGGCCAAGCATGCCTCGAAAGCTGACAGCATGTTTCGGGAGATGGTGTTGTCGGCCAGAGCACGCTTTTGTGAACAGCAGGAGGAGGGCAGCCGACCCCTCTTCTCGCCTGGGTCGTCCGTGTTCAACAAGACAGGGTTTGGCTACAGGATTTACTGGGAATACTTGCTGTGTACGAAGAAGCAGCTGGAAGAGCTCAGTGGCAAGCCTGTGAGCTCCCTTGCGGTGACTGCCGTCAGCTTCAAGTTGGATGGCGACACTAACAGCAAGCTCTATGCCATCAGCATGCAGGGCATCTCCGAGGACCAGATGAAGGGCATGAAGAGGATGCAGGTGTTCCACGAGTTGGAGGTGGAGCATGAGGAATCCTTTCTTAGCCCGGAGCATCAACTACACGTGCAGCAGGGCGAGAACAATTTCCAGTTCTACACGAAGCAGCACTTTGCTACGCGACCTGGCGTGGCAAAAGTGGGAAGCCATCCGCCGACATTGAGCAAGCTCATCGAGAATGCTGAGATGCAGGAGGCTAAGAATGCAGCTGTTGCAGTGCCTGGACCCAAACGGGCACGGGAGGAGCAGAAAGGCTCGGGCTCTGCTGAGTCCTCGAGCTCGAGCAGCTCAAACGAGGACAAGGGCAAGAGTGGGGCGAATCGAACGGACCAGGCACGATCTGCGCCTGCCCCAAGCCTGGGCAGTCTGCAGATTGCAGAGCCCAAGAAGGAGACAAGGAGGCCTAAAGCAGCTGCGACGCCTCGCAGCCCTTCGCCTGAGACTGGTGAGAAGGCTGTTAGCATCTCTGAATCGAAGCCGAGGTCCTTGAATCTGGGCGGGAGCAAGAAGGAGAAGGAGCATGCTGCTGTGCTCGAAGAACTGGAGAGGCTAGACACAGAGATGCTGACAGTCGCCAAGGAGCATCTTCGCAACAAAGGATCTTCTGTCTCTTGCTTAAAGCAACTCAATGTGAAGCACTTCCTGACGAACGCAAAGCAAGGACAGGTCTTGTTCTCGGCCTCTTGTCTATTAAAGCGTAAGGCCGGCCGGAGGACTTGGTAGTCTCTGCCGGAATGCAAGTAGAGCAGACACGCCCAGGCATCGAAGATCGAAGACAAGCTCAAGGAATACAACTCGGTGGGCGCAGCCAACCTTCTCAGCGCAAGACGTGCCGTTTGTGAAGCAGCTAGCATCCTCGCGGAGGGTGACCTTGCCGCGATGAAGATAGACACCCTCCGCAAAGCGCTAGTCCAGCTGCAGGATCACATGGACGACATGCCGGTGTCTGTCTTGATCAAGGTGACCCAGAAGGTGCTGACACACAAGCTGTCGAACCTCGTCATCCTGCGTGAGGAAAAGGATGACTTCGCGGACGAGGCTTGCGACTTCGTGACAGCGCTGCTTCCGGTTTCTCCCACGGCTACCATGTTTGACCTGCAATCTCCTACTTTCCATGGCCTTATGGCCAAGGTGCTGGACAAGGGCGACTTCATGGAGGTGCTTGCGGATGACGCAGGCAGCAGCGACGACGAGGAGGCCATCCAGAAGAGAGCCCAGGACAACGAGTCCCGAAAGGAGCAGGCGGCTCTGGCCTTACAGGAGCCTCGACAGCTTGCCTTCTGTGATCATAGTGACATAGTGCTGGTGTTGCTGCTCACAACTTCCATTCTAGCTTGTGTTCGGAATCTGTTGTGGGCCAGAACCGGAAAGTGAGGGACGGGGGAGGGACAGAAGCCTCGGAGCGTGGAGAGGGGAGGGGAGGGGAGAGGGGGGGNNTACGTGCGGGGGTGTGCCGAGGTTCTGGCGATGAAAGGTGGTTGCTGTTTGCTTACGCTCAGCAACTTGGGGCTGAAGGTGGGGGCTGTTTGCTCACTTTCGGCAACTTGGGCCTCACAAGGTGGGAAAAGTTTGCATACTTTCATGGGGAGGCGAGGTCAGAGCCCTCTATAACCCTGCAAACCAGCCCGGTCACATCCAACCCCCTCGCTTGGGGGCTCCAATTGGGGGGTTGGGTTATGCTTGTTGGAAGGTTGATGGCAGTGCTGGAGCTTGCCTGTTTATGTGCAATTGATTGTGCTCGTGAGTGCACAACCTCCCAAATTTGCACAGGAGTGTCTTGCCACAATGGTGCCCTCACCTAGCTCCGTTGATTTGCGAGGAGACTGGAAAGAGTATCTTGGACATTGTCAACTCCAACGGCATGCATGAGCTGCTGAACTTTGCCGCGATTGCCGGAGATGCCAAGTGCCCAAGTGCCAATGCTATCCGATGCCTGGCAACTACCTTTCTGGAGTCCCATGCAGCTTTGCAGGGGAAGCTGGATCAGATGGCCAAGGAGAGGCTCGGCAGTAGTACAGTGTGTGGACCGCGTGCGGAAGTTGTTCAGGTGTCTTTCCCACCTCCTTTCAGCTCCTGACGTGGGCACCCCAACCACCGCAGCAGAAGTTCTCTACTTTTCCAGCTACCAGGGCAAGGCCACTTTCGAGCGAGGTGTGAAAATCACTTTGACGAAGAAAGACAAAGTGGCAGATACCGAGGAGGAGATCGCCGGGTTCTGGCAGCGGCAGATTGACGAGGCAATCCGCACAGCAGCCTCCACTGTGCAGTTGCGCCCCCTCTTCGACCAGGTGAACGCAAAGCTACAGGACGACAAGCTCCTGGACGACCAGGCTGGGGCGTCGTGGTTGGTCGAGTCGCTTGGGAAGCTCAAAAGCGGCATGCGTGCCGCGGATCTCGAGAGCCTGCTTCACGAGGCTCAGGAGCTCCTGGTGAGCAAAGCTGAGGCTATCGTGGAGGAAGCAAATGCTGCAGATGCGTCCGCAGCTGTGGTCCAGGCCCTCCAGAACGGCTTGCAGCTGTTCGAGAACGAGCCGGGGATGCTGGACAACATGCAGGCCTTGCAGAGATGGATGTCCGAAAACATTCACGAGATCTCCGCAGGACGCTTTGCCGCACTCGCGCAGAAGGTCGTGGACACCAAGCAGCTTGACGTGGACGCCCTCGCCTCTGCGCTCAAGAAGTGCAAGCGCGGGAAGATGACCGCCGAAAGCTCCGGCATCGTGGAGAGTTTCTCCGCGACGTGCTACAATGTTCTTCTGGGGGAGGTCGTCAACAAAACGAGCACGCAGCAGCACGTCAGCAAAATCTTGACAATTGTCGACAAGGCGCTGGGCCTTCACTGTCCTGAGACATCCCTGGAGAAGCAGTTTGCCGTCGCGGCCTCCGCTCTCTTGAAGGGTGCCAAAGAGACGGTGGATGCCCTGGACCAGCTGGAGAAGATAGCCGCCACCCCAGAAGCACGCTTGCGCAAGGACAAGGACATGAAGTTGATGCAGCTTGTCACCACCTGCATCTCGGACTTGCTGGAGAAGCAGCGTGACATGTCGCATTTCCTCCGTGAGCGTGAGGGTGATATGCTCCAGCATCCAACGCTTCACAACATCGATTGGACCCCTTTCGCTGGCATCGACGAGAACGAGACGTACCAGGCATGCCTCCTGCTCAAAATGCAGGCCGTGATCAAGGAGATTGACAGCAAAGCGGCCAATTGCCTCATGCTGTGCAATGGCTATGAGCGGGGTGGCAAGCAGGCCTGGACCGCCAACTTCACCGATGAGACCACCTCGGCCGAGTTAGTCAGCGGAACAGACAGGACCTTGAAGACTTTGCCCAGCAAGGCCATGAGTGCAGCATGCGAGACCCTCGACGAGGACGCCTTCGAGGGACCCCTAAGTGTAGCCTTGCCCTAACCCTAGGCCCTTAAACCCTTGGGGTTCGGGGTGTGGGGTTTAAGGTCTATAGAGGTTTGGGTCTTAAAGATGCTTAGGGGTGTGAGGGTTTCGGGCTTACAGGTTAGGATTACCCAAAACCTTAAGCCCTAAGCCCTAACCCCAAAAGAAAGAACACCCTGCTGCTTTAGAGCCAGAAACATAACCATAACACCTTGAAGCCCCGAAGCCCTAACAGCAGAAAACCCTAAAGCCCTATTACAAAGCAGCTCTAAGTCACGACAGCAATCAGTACATGAGTGTCCGTGCTTCCTGACCCAGGAGCTCACGAATGCTTCCAAGTTCGTGGACACTTTCGGGAAGTTGGTGCGACCGGGGGAGGCCGCTGCTGCACTGGCAAAGTTGGAGGAAAAGATCCTTGAGCACACAGGTAGCTTGTCGGCCACTTGGGCGCTGTACTGCGAAGTCATCCTCTTGGCATGCCTCGTCGCGACCAATCGTGAAAGGCAGAAGGCAAGTGTCTTGAAGATTAGTGCGCATTTGGTGTCGCGAAAGTACGGAGTGGATGAAGACAAACTCTTTCAACCGCTCGTTGCTTTTACAAAGCCCCTCATGGAGTGAGAGGTCGTGCATCCGCGCAGCAAGCACAGGACCTGCGCTTAAAGTGCAGCATTTTGATCCCCGCACGCGAAGTGCTGCTACTCAGAGTCGAGCTCGAGGATAAATGAAAGTTATGCCGGAGCCATGCGAATGCGATTGTCTTCCGAGGAAGGCAGACTCTTTGTATCACGGGCAGGGTCACGCAATCTGGAGGGTGAGCCTCATGGACACACAGCATCACATTTAACAGAAATACATTTCCGAATACCTTTCCGAATACAACTCACATCTGGAACACTTATCCCCACACAATCCTGGAACACCTCTGGAATACTTTTTGGAACACTATAAATTAAAATCCGAAATCCAGGCCTAAGGCTGTTCACGTAACTTGTAACCCTAAGCTCCAGACCCTAAACCCTACCTAAACCCAAAACCCTAAAACCCGATACTACATTGCGGATTCTGCCGACCTAAACCGCTAGGCGGAAAAAGGTGCTTAACAAAAAAACCAGATACTAACCTTATAGGAATTCTGCCCCCCCCGACCAGGTCTGCTGCTTCGACACCGACCTAGAAGACTCCATCGTCCTGGCCGTGGTGATCCAAAGTCACGTCCCGCACTGCCAGGCCCATGCAGGGTTTAGGGATCTCTCTCTCTCTCTCTCCCTATCTCCCTCCCTCCCTCCCTCCACATTGCACAAGAGAGAGTTAGGACTTGCGGTCTAAGATTGAGGTTTAGAATTGCGGTGTCGGATGTAGGGTTTGTGGGTCAAAGGTCCAGGCGTTGAGGGGTTTCGGGCTGAGGATTTAGTGTTTACATGCCGCGCCCTGTTCTATCAGGCTGAGTCGCACCCCCCCCCGACATATCACAAAGTCAACATGGTTACTCTGAAGGATGATGGTGCTGGAAGGCATGATGATGACGACGATGATGATGATGGTGGTGGTTACTAGTAGCACTATTGTGATGATGCCTGTTTGATTGTGACTCTGATTGTGGTTTCGTTGCCATGGCTGCGATACTTCATGTAACCTGCACTACGTAGGATGTGCACACAACCTGTTGGACCGGCCCATAGATGAAGGCATGAGAAGAGCTTGAGGCATCAGATGAATAGTTCAGGGCTTGGAATACTTCCCTAAACCCTAAACCCTAAGGCCGAAAAGTTCATTTAGGGCTTTGCATAGTCAGGGCTTAGGATTTACGTCGGTGAAATTTGCGGGTTCAAGAGGTTGGGAGGTTTTGCGGTTCAGGGGTTCCCTCAACCCTACCACTTGAACCCTAAACCCAAAGCCCCTCAACATCAAAGAGCTTTCCAGAGATGCGCAAGATTTGGGGTTTAGGGTTCAGGGTTCAGGGTTTAGTGGGCTTAGCGTTTAGGGTGTAGGGTTTCAAGGCTTGTCAGCTGAGACCTGACAGGCCGTGCAGAACATGCGAGCGCAGTGCACCAGCTTGGACCACCACGAGGAGAATGTGCTCCGTCTATCCTTTACATCAGCCCCATCACCGGTTTTCTCTGGGGTGCGTAAGGGTTTCTTGGGGTCATGTCCTTTACGGGGCTTCAAGGTTCAAGGTGTTTCTGAGTTTTTATGGCCGCCTGGAGTTCAACAATCTGGGGATACAGTTTGAATGCTAAGCCCTGAACCATAAACTCAAACCCCAAAGACACACCTAGACTATAGAACCTTCAATCGCAACTCTCCCTTGGAGTAACACTACAGAAACCTTGTAGCGACCCATGTTATTGGGACCCTCGACCCCAAACCCTAAACCCCTCTACTACACTCCAAGCGTCCCCCCGAACCGCTCCGAGGCAATGCACATCATTGCTGCCCTCTCCGAGATCGGGTTGGCCTTCCCCATCCAGGTTCCCATAGCTTTTGCCATACCTTCCGCCGGGTTTAGGGTTTAGGGTTTAGGGTTTAGGGTTTAGGGATTTAGGGTGTGCTTTGTTATGCTGCCCTCATAAGAACAATGATAAACGCAGCGCAGCAACGAGATTACGCGCAGTAGCAAGCTTAGTCGTAATCGTGATAATAGTGGTAACGATGATGATCGTGTAGTAGTAATAATAATAGCAACAGTAGTAGTAAAGGTAGTACAATATAAAAGTAACGGTAATAATAGTATATAATGCTAGTGATTAGTAGTATTCATAACACTAATGATGCAAATGATGTCCTACACCCTGCAGCATGCCGCGATGGAAGGTTTCAGACATCGCTTCTCCACAGGCGAAGGAGATTGCACATGGCTGTGCGGTAGCATGGGAGTTTAGGATCTAGAGTTTAGTTTGCAGCTGAGCTTGAGAGATTACGAAGTAGGAGCTTCGAACATGGATCCCTACACCCTAAACCCTACTGGGTTATATTTAGCTACATGTTTTTCATGACATTTTCTCCCAGCTTGGTTTGCCTCATTTGCGTACGGGTATATAGGATCCTGAAGCTCGGACCCATGTTAGGAATCCTGATCATTCTGCAACTCCGTTTTCATGACATCTTTGACCCTAAACCCTTGAGGACATGCTGCTCTTTGCCATGTTCCTATTCCAGAACCTGCCCAATTACGTTCCGAAGACAACGATTGTCTTCTCTACGATGCTGGGAGTACCTGGGTTGGATATATGGAAACCCAAAACTCCCTAAACCCTAAACCCTAAAACCCTAAACCCTAAACCCACAACTCTAAACCCTTTCAGGCTCCCTAATATAGGAACCCTTCTAGCAACTAGCTGTTTGTGACCCTTGCATTAGCCCCCTGCCCCCGCCGGCCCACAACAGAACTAGCGCTGAGGTGAACATGACGAAGAACATCGAGCTTACAAACCCTTCCAAGAAGGCACCCTGCAGTCGTGCAGTCGACTTGGAATTCAGGGTTCTGGGTTTAGTATAGGGCCTTTACAATTGGAACAGGGTTTTGCGGCTCATTATACTCTAGTTATAGTAGGGACCCCCCCAAAAATAGTATGGGTGATTTTTATTTAGGCCCCTATAAACCCTACCTAAACCCAACTTCGAGTTTGGGGTTTCATTTCGAGCTTAGGGTTTCAGGGGAAGGCCTGGTGTGAGGCTGTGGCCACTTCTCGGCACTGAAGACTGAAGACCATGCACGACGTATCCTAAACGCTACACGCCGACCTTCACGGCTTTTAATGTAGGCCAACCCATAGCCATAGCCTCGAAGCCCTGGAGCCGTAAGCCCTCGCATTTTCTGGCCCAAGTTATTGGTGCTCGAGTTATAGCCTCCAAGAAAGAGAGTGTCATCCCGCTGTGAACAGAGAGTGCGAAGGTTGGCATTATAGGGGCCTTAATAATTCGAATAGGGTTTGGGGTATATTTTGCTATAATTATACTAGGCTCTAAACTAGACCTCGAATCCTAGCCAGACTCGACCTTAATCCCTGCACCCTCATATAGGAGCCTTCATAATTAGAATAGGGTGTTGGGGCTCCTGTAAAGGTTCTATAAGGGCTACTATAAGGGTTTGGGGTTTAGGGGCCTTAATCATTATAACACGGTTTTGGGGCCATCATACTAGAATTACAATAAGGAACTTTATTGGTAACCATTTAGGCACGTACATTAAACCCAAACCGTAGACCCTTAAAGTCCTAAAGCCAGGCCATCACCTACCTCGTGCAGCTCGTGGGGTCTAGCGGCAATGACTTTGCCGTCAAAGAGGACACCATCAAGCTGGAGCCAAGGTGGGGTTCAGGGGTTAGTCCGTCTCAGTAACGGAGTTTCGGGTGAAGTATAGCAGCCTAAATAATTGCCCATACTATTTTGGGGGTTCCTTACTGTAACTATAGTATAACATACCCCCAAAACCCTATTCTAATTCTCCAGGCCGCTACATCAAGGTTTAGGGTTTAGGGCTCATGGGTTTAGGGTTTAGGGTTTAGGGTTTAGGGTTTAGGGTTTAGGGTTTAGGGTTTAGGGCTCATGGGTTTAGGAGTTCCGAAAGCCCGGAGCCTCCAAGAACAAAGCCGAAGGTCAACTCCCCTAAACCCTAAAGCCCTAAGCCCTAAACCCTAAACCCTAAACCATAAAACCCCAAACCATAAAACCCCAAACCCTAAACCCTAGAATCCTAAAGCCCTAAACCCTAAACCCTAAACCCTTAGTGTTTGGCGCAGGCAGACCTTCTCCTATCCGGTGGAGTACTGCAGTCGCTTCTCCAGGCAAGGGGGCAGAGAGTCTAGGATTACCGTTATAGGGTTTGGGGTTTAGCGGTTTAGGGTTTAGGGTTTAGGGTTTAGTATATAGGAGCCTTACAGAAGGTCTATATACCTTATAGAAGCCTTATAGAAGCCCTATATACCCGAAGCTCCTCACCTGTTAACAGAGGAAGATCGCCAACAGTTGCGCTGACAGCTTAAGCCCGAAACAGCAAGCCACAAACCCAAACACCCCTCCCAAACCCTCAACACTACAAGCTTAAACCTCAAGCCCTCCTTTCTGCCATGAGGACCCTAAACCCTAAACCCTCGTGAGGCTTGTGGAAGACAAGATCATGTTCACGTCCAAACGAGAAGGCAATGTCCACGCCGCTGCGATGGTTTTCAAGTTGAGGCGGGGCCTAGGGCCGCTTCAAGGGATCTTCGAAGGGATTTATAAGGGTTCTATAAGGGTTCTACAAGGGTTTGATATCGGTTTTGGATTTAGGGTCTAGCCTAGGGCCTAGGGTTTAGGCTTTGTATCGAGTTTCGTTGTTCGCGCGTCAGGAGCCGCTGCACCGGGCGGAAGCCCCGCAAGACAATCAATGTGTCTGCAGTGCTGTACGAGGTCGGCACGGTGCCTTGGTGCGAACCCCCAACCCTGAACCCCCAAACCCATTCTGTTGCAGCGTTGTTAAAAGCAAACCAAAACCCTCAAACCATAAACCCAAAGCCCTAAACCCTACACCGTGAACGGCTTCGGATGAAGAAAGCCAGGAAATAGAGCAGGGCTCTGGGTTTAGGATGTAGTGCTGATGTCGACGTGCCCTTTTGCCCTTATCCTTTCGGGATCTTTCGGGTTCCCTTATTAAAACCAAGTAGTAGGGTTTAGGGTTTAGGGTTTGGGATTTAGGGTTTGGGGTAGCACGAAAAAGATTATTTTTAAAGGGCTACTCAGGAACCTAGACTCTTAATGGTGCAAGCCGCAATGACGAAACGAACATGTTCAAACTGTACGAGATGGCACTACCGCTAGCAAGAGTTGCATGAGGAAAGTGAGTAGACCGGCAAGAATGACGTCCACCAGAACTCAGCAGGATATGTAGGACTACACGCGGTTTCTTTGAGAATGCCGAGGGTGATGAGCGCCAAGAGACTTCCTAGAAAGAGAATCATGCATTTGCGGAGACAACGACGAGACCCCGAAACCCTAAGCTCACACTCCCTAGTACTCCCTTAGGTTCCCTGAAGCTCCCTAGGACCCTCCCCCCTTGAGCCACCCTCCCTTAAGGATCCTATAGCCATAGAGCCCCCCTAAACCCCGGAACCGTAAACCCCAAAGTCCCGAAGGCCAAACCCCGAAACAGTAAACCCTAAACCCCAAAGCCCTATTCCCTAAACCCCAAACCCTTAAACCCGAAAACCCAAACCCTTAAACCCTTAAACCCTAAACCCTAAACCCTAAACCCTAAACCCTAATCCCTAAACCCTCAACCCCAACCCCTAAACTTTAAGCCCTGAAGCCGAAGTCCCTAAGAACCCTTCAGAGCTGTGAGGTCGACGTGGAGTTGGAGAATCCCTTCTCCGAGGACGGCCTGGCAAAGATCCGGCAACCACAAGGGCTTAGGGTTTAGGGTTTAGGGTCTAGGGTCTAGGGTTTAGGGTTTGGGTTTTTTGGTTTAGGGTTTAGGGTTATCTACAGGGTTCCTTTATACTTACTTAGCCAATGGGAGAACTTTAAACTTTCTGGCCTCATATATCTAGTCTATATTAGAAAGTTCAGGATTCGGTTATTGACGAAGAGAGTATGGACGCTAAGCCCAAAGCCCTAAACCCCAAAACCCTTATGGCTTTACGGTTTAGGGTTTTTTTTAGGGCCTTCTTAAGGTTTCGCAGCGGATTTTACAAAGGTTCCATGGGATGGTTGTAGAAGGGTGTAGCGGGCCTTCCAAAGGGCTCTTGAAGGAATCCCTTGAGTGTTTCCTGTATACCCCTCATGGAACCCATATAGGGCCTTGAAAGAACCCTCAAACCCTAAGCCGGGAATCTTAAACCCTACACCCCTAAACCCCAAACCCTAAACCCCTAAACCCCTAAACTCGAAACCCTAACCCCTAAACCCGAAACCCTCAAGGCCCGAAATCCCGGGAGGACGCGGAGTTCACCGTGGCCCTCCGAGAGAGCACCGTCTGTGATGCGGAGAAGAATCCGGCGAAGAGCTCAGAGTTTGGCACTTTGATGTCTAAAAGGGGGGGGTGCTTGTTAAGGAAGTTGCCGTAATAGGTATCTATAGTAAATAGTAGGGTGCCCTTACCATCGTAACTTAAATTTTGTTCTTGTTCAGGAACCCAGTTTAAGGTGCGGTGTTTAGGGCTCAGAGGGCACGGGGTTTAAGGTTTACGTATGAGGGTTCTGAAAGGGTTGTTGGCCGAGTTCCATAAGGTACTTCCGGGTTCTTTCAGGGTTGCATAGGGTTCTGCTGCGAGTTTGGAAGGCTTCTTTCGGATCTGGGTTAGGTGATTAGGGTTTAGGGTCTAGGGGTTGGGGTCTAGGGTTGAGGGCTTTAGAAAGGGTTCTGCAAAGGTTTCCACGGCTTTCATAGGCTTCGTCTGAGGCGTATTGTGGAGATTTCAGAGGGTCATGTTCACCGGATCGGGGAACATCCTAAGTTGGTTTTAGGGTTTAGGGTTTAGGGTTCAGGGTTTAGGGTTTAGGGTTCAGGGTTTAGGGTTTAGGGTTCAGGGTTTAGGGTTTAGGGTTCAGGGTTACCTTAACCTACCAAAACCGACTTTTTTTTGTAGGGCCCCTATCAAATCCACACAGGGGTCTAGTAGGTCAAGGGAAGGTCATTATTTACCTTAACCTGTCATACTTGTAGCATTTGTAGGCATTTAGCTCAACCACCCTCAATCTTCCAACCTTGTTGCCTCCTCAGAGTATACCACCCTGGCGCAGTTGATTCCTGCAAAACGAAACCTGCATCGTACAGGTTCTTGAGTAATCGCCAGCACTATTCCTTAGGTTCTCTAAGATAACTATATTGTTATAATAATTAGTGTTATGTCGGCGAGACAAGCTAGTAC